ATGTAAAAATGTGAAGCCGACGTCAATGCTGTAAATAAATTTGGTTAATGAAACAGCTGATCTTCAGTAACAAAGCTATTTAGAACATTTCACTCTCATCCTTCACTAATATTTGGGTTAAAATACGTGTATAGGAGGCGTTCCCATATCAAATGATTGATAATATTATTGTGTTTATAGTCTGGTAACTTTGATGTCTTTTCTATTTAGTTTCTTGAGCAAATCAATATAAAATCAAACTATAGTAGGTATAATGGATTTAAATATTAATGCAAGAACTTATTTATGAACTAGCACACCCAATGTACAAAATCGTGACAAAAAAACCACCAAGTTGCCATGTTGGTTCGCAAACTATTTCGAATAAAGGTAGGTTTACCGTTCATCAAAATCGCACGATTTTTGCTCAAGATATCGTGCTAACGGACACATAATATACAGGGTGGACCAGCTAAAGTGTGACAATAGCTAACTGTTTGATTATGAAAGGGAAGATTAACTTCTTATTGGGCATTCTCTTTTATTTTTCTAGGTAGGTCTTTGTAGATATATTCATAATACCTAAAATAATAGCTTATTCCCTGTGTAAGAAAATCGTGAAGTCGTCAGGCGCGCCACAGTTCACCTATTCACCGCTAGGCGTCGCCACCCTTAACCGAGTTCGCCGAGTCTCCACTAGATGTCAGTGAGACAAATACATCTAAATCCTTACCAGTATTCCAAGTTTATTAATTATTTAGCGATATTAAGGTACAACAACAATTTAACCTTTGGCTAAAAGATAAACTATTATTCTTAAATTATAAACTAAAGGACAATAGTACGATTTAAAGCCGTGGTAGTTTACTATGAGTCCTCTGTATCCGTTGACACTCGCAGGGAGTTTTGAGTAGCTGGAACATCACTAGCTACTAACCTTAGGCTGCGAAGTGTCTTCCATAACAGTATCATAACTTGGCACAAAGCTAGTTAGAACATTGTTTAAAAAGCCGAGAGTCGTGTCTCTTACCTGAGGCCGATGATTGGCTTATAACAACATGTCGTTCTGTTAATAGAAAAAAATAATCCTCAGTTGCTATTATAGCTGAGACAGACTATTTTATTCTCTTCTTTACCATTAATGAATGATGATGCCACTTAATTGAAAGAGCCAAACGTCTGGTCTTGTACATAAAACATAGTGTACAGATTGTTTACGCTGCTCTCACTGGAAAGTCGAGAATATATCTACAAGTCTATTTTAAAGTTAGTTTAAGTTAGATTAGGTTAAACGTAGAGGTAGAATTTCAATTTGTGTATTGTTACACTCAAGTTTTGTGGTGGTAGTCGTTATGGAAATGTCCAAAAAATGTTTAAGCCAACAAACAAAACAAACTACCGCCACGCATTCACACGCCCGACGGATAACCCTGTCGTCAGCTGTTCCATACATGATCTCTAAGGTGGAATTATAATCAATGCCAGAACCATGCGTATACAGAATGCTAATCTCGCATGGCTTGGTAATTCACACAACAGATGGTGCGACGATTATCTAAGAGGCAGGTACAGGACGTCCTTGCAGACGACCTTGCGAGATTGGCGCCTTTCCCGCCAAGGCACGCTCGGTACACAGGTGTCATCAGCTGTTTTGGCTCCTCTGCCACCACGTGTCTTTACTGGCCAGTAGAGAATATGCGTGTTGAATATTAAACTTTGACTGTGGAGATTTTATTATTCTTAGGACGCTAGGCACGAGTCCGGGTTTGTTTTCAGTTTCACATTACTTCAGGCTAGACCTAGGGGTTGCGTTATTATCACATAGTTAAAATTTGTGATTTCGCGGGATTTGAACCCATGACCTGAGGGACCTCCACTAGACCAGCTCGTTCCTCTTGGATATGGAGAATAGAAAACCAATTGAGAAAGCCACTAGTTAGTTTGGTGAAAATGAATGTGATTAAATTATGCAACCGACAGAGTACGCCGATGTGTACTTATTTCTGCACTTCACCAAGACCAAACAACCAAAACAAACTGAAACGATAAATTACCGTAAACTATAGGGTCTTTTATGACAAATCAATCATAATAGTGCCAAACACTACAGGCCACGACATTACTATAGCAACACAATCAGACTAGTGGCTTGTAGGGGCAATAGCCCCTATATATATATTCTAGTAAATATTTTGTACAAATTATTAGTCTCATGGGTTACCCTACCTTGAATTATCGTTTAACATTTTTGTATATTATAATATGTATAAAAGTTATTACAACCTGCATAATGCAATTTTTTGATGTCTGTTCTGTTTAAAATATAGATTCCAAAGGACTGTTCATGTAGTGTGTTTATAATACAAACTTTCTAATCATGATATACATCTAAGGAAGATTTTCAATAATAATCTTCATGACTATTAATTAAATATTTATCAATTCCTTTGAATATAGACAAATTCACTTAAATTAAACACATAGAGATAATGTCATCCTCCAAATTGTATAATGCTAATTATAACAAAATCTCTCTATAAACAACAGAGTATAGTATCCATTTTAATCGAATCTTTGGTCTTTATTTTGTTCTAGTACTATTTTAACATCATCTGGCAACTTTAACCGGCTAAAAGCTACATAAAGTTGACCATGGGTAAACACGGGTTTTTTTCAAATAAATGCCAACTTTTTGAAGGTTTGGCCTTGCGCTTTATTTATAGTAATATCGAAAGCTAATCGCAATAGGAATTGAATTCCTAAACTTAAACGGCATATTAGGATCTTTAGATGTTAGTTTTATTTTTGGCATGAAAAATATGTTCCCTTTGCCTACTCCAGTAATTACTTCTAACTTTACACTTTTTTCAGACATACCTAACACAACTAATCTTATTCCATTAACTAATCCAGACCCTGGAAAAAGTCTATATTTCAGCTTTATAATAGTATACATATTACAGTACATATTACCATATGCTTTAAATTAAATAAACCACATGTTTTTAAGTAACCAAAGCAGACATGACCTGGATTCCCATGTTATTTAAATGTAAATTATTTTATTACGTAACGACCTTTTGGTGCATAATTAAGAAAAATGAATATGAATAATGAATGCCGAGACCTTTAAAATGAGACCTCTCCCAGCATTCTACGGCCTCCCGTTCGCTCACAATTTCATTGTAAAATTTTGGGCTTACGGAATTAGATATATAGATAAACAATACCATTACTGCACATTAAACTTCTGAAAATGTGTTTGATTAATAAGACATTAACAGAAGGCATAGAGGAAGTTTTCAGAGACATTTCTTCCAGTTTCCCAAACATGTTTGTGTTGCTACTTGTGCGTGTTTGCCTTTGTTTTGGACTCGCTTGTGTCTACGAATCGCATGCTAAGCAGCTCTTTATCATTTGTATTACTGTCGTTATTTAATTTCGTGTGTAAAATAATTTGTGTGTACTTGCTGGAATAATACTGGACTGTTTGCTATTTCTTCATTCCATTTTGCAAATAACAATGTAGAAAATATTATCAACGGTGCTAAAGGTTTCGGCATGGGTAGAAAATAAACCAAAATAGATTTGTTTCTCCTTATGGATAAGCTGAATAGGCCTACTAATTTGTTGTATGTATATTGGTAGTATGTAAAGTGTGTTTGAATGCTCAAGAGTCAAGTGGAAACCGATAGGCCTATACTCGAAAACATCAGGTACGTTAAATCAGTCTTACGATTACAGTGAGGCGAGAAGTTTTCGTGCGGTATCAGCTACAATGTCAATGGTTTAGCAGCTGATAAGCCATATGTTTCTTAATATTAGCTGTTTTAACACATTCTATTCAAATGACTATTACAATACTCTTATGGAGAAATGCAAAACGCCAAGGTCAACTACTGGCCTAGTGCCCTCCCATGAAGGCCATTTTTTGACCTTATACTGTATCGGAACTACTTTAAGTTAATTTATATCTCTGCTTTGACTTTATTTGTATCAGATCACTACTGAACTAGGCAAACATGAAACATTTCCTAGCTTATAAATAAGTATTGATATACTTGGGATACCTTAGTAATGCATTTTTTTGGTTAGGTGACAGAAATTAAAACATTAACTAATTATTTACTTCAATCAGTGATAATTTTGTCTCATCTAAGCAGACATGACAATTTATGTGGAGTTTTTTACGAGATTTGAATACAAGGTTTTCCACTTATTCAGCAATGATTGACATAAGGAGGTTATCTTACCTTCATACTTGTACAGGAAAGTCGTAGGTGTAATGTAGGTCAGCAAATGTGGGTTCATTTGTACTGAAACGCGTATTATTCAAATATGTTTAGCGAAACGTTCTATAATATACGTGATTGGCGATTTCAGTGATTGAAGAGCTTATTGCGACTGTTCTGGAGCTCAACGAGTCTGTTCGAGAGCTTTTCAGTTCCCACTGGAAAATTTTACAGTAGGCCCTATTACCGTAGTCCCTGTGATAAGATGTTGATCTGAAATTACTTTCCTTTTCATCTAGGCGTATAAATGCCAAACGTTCTAGTTTGTCGATACAGTATTGTATTTGGTTTTGCCATAAATTTCCCAATTACAGAAAAATAGTTAGTGTTTGGAATTGAATTTTTAGCCTACCTATAACAACTTCGTTAACGATTAAGATCAGCTGGTTCAATAGGAATTACAATTTGAAACCTTCTTATCAAGAACTGCTGGGTCCAGCTTAGAACTTTTGAAAAGCTAATCTGTTTCTAATACTTTCAAATGACGAAAATGTACACAGCATACGGAAAACTCTTGACGTCATTGGGTTCAAAGACCTACAGGGTTTCTGTTGGCGTACCGCATCGGACTTACAAATGAAGGCCTTACCAAGTGTTACCAATGTGGGTAGACACTTTGATCTGGTAAGTGGTAATCATCGAGGTGACAGTGTGCGGTAGGCGCAGTACAGGTCCGCCCATGGGCGGCTGTTGTACTGGGCGGCAAGTCTCTGGCGCCCACAGACGCCCCTCCCTCAGAATTTGAATTCCCTGAAACCTAAGACTTGTTTGTCACCCGTATTAGTCAGAAGTGAAGGAAATCCACGTTTTTGTCAGGTTATTCTTAGTTTGTTCGACGTCACTGAAGTTGAAAGATCGGCGTTGGATGAATTCATGTTGAGTGGTGTTGTGCAGGTTGTCATCAGTGTTTGTGTTTGTTTGATTTCGTTCTTGCAAGAGAAAACTGTGGGTGTTTCCTTTTACAAACCACGGAGACGGACTGAAGATCGTGAGTACTGTATTTAACAATCAACATTATTATAATTATGTATTAAGGAACAACAAAAGAAATGAAAATATGGCTAATAGTGGAGGGTGATTTTCAATGTTCCTTCTGGTGTTATAACGAAAACATTGCACATTATAAAATGTCCCTTGTTTCTCTATTATCATAGAGAACGTCGACATCAGCGCTCTCTTAACAGTTACCAGCACGACACACAGGCGAAGGTTTCATATTGTATAATAGAATGAGAAGCGCCCACTTAAACTATTCACTTTTCAAAATCAACGGTGTAAAGTATATTATGGTGTTGGAAGTAATGTATTATATTCGTATTATAACCTTGAATTCTCCAAGGCGTTATGAACACTGACACAAGTTTCAGTACAGTATTGTCGGAGATCACGCCACCCCGCGTGTAGGCTTCAAACTGTGCTTTCTGAAGTTGTACAACTATTAATGATCTACACAACACAGGCAATGACTGTGTTTATAATGTTTACCATGTATGGTGTGTTTATACAGGCTGTTTATGTTGGAAAACAGAACAAAGTGTTTACTTTTTGTCATCGAGAGTTGGTTTAACTTGGAATTATAGTAGAGTACTTTATTAATAGTATTATGGAAGAATATTTGTTTTACAAAACATACTAATGGTGATAGTATCTGGATTACTGCCAGAACCAATACTTTCTAATATAATTACCGATATATCCTCTTGTTTTAAAGAAGGTTACATCTATCCCTCTTTAAAACGAGGATATATCAGTATATCCTCTTTTGTGCAGTTTCAACAGGGATACGTGTTAATTTACGCCCTCAATAATTTATTTTATAAGCTTGAAAATGTTTTTAGATAAATTTGCGAATGTTAACTGTTGTTGTTAAATTAAATTTTTATCTCACGTTTCTACCATACAAAGTATACAAGTAAAGTTACTATGGATTAAACCTTAAAATTATGTCCAAAATTACGTACATCTTTGTTAATTGTTGAGTTGACAACATTAATCATATTTTGAACAGTGTCAAATAGAAAATTGGGTGAAACCAAGGTTAGCTGTCGTACATCCAATTTTCTCCAAGACAAACAACTTAATTTCGGCAAGTATAGGCTTGTCAGATTACAGGAAATGTGTTTCTCGTATGCCAATTTAATTCGTATGTCAATTTAGTAATTTAGCTGTCTTGTTCATCTCCAAACATTGACATCTATTTGATTCCCTCGTGACCACAGCACATAGTTTTGTTTAGCATTGTAGTCCTTTAAATATCGACTTGGGGACAAAATATACTTTTTATCACCGTAAAAATCATATCATATTTTGATGTGTGGGTAATGTCCGATAGGCATGGGTTGTTGAGGGTGTTTAAGTGTCCATATTAATCATTGAGATAAATATTGCTATAGTTAATTTACCTTTTTGTAATAGGTCTAAAACCAGACGATGAACAATATTATATTTAAAAAGTTTTAAAGTTGGTGAGGTAACAAAAAATTACTTTATCGACATCCTAACGCTCTCTACAAACAAATCTTACAAATCTGTCTTAAGCTGATCCATAAGGATGATAAATATTTTGCTAGCAAGTAGTATTTGATTGATTATTAAACCTGCGACCTTACTTATTTGACATGAAACGCTCGAGTTTGCAATGTAGATTGCACACATATTTTACAAAATTCACTCATAATAGTCATTGCGTTGTCTAATGAATTTTTATCTATTACATTTAAAGTATTTTCAAATAAGAAACCACTTGGCTAGCAATAAATATGAAAGTGGAGAGCTGTCCGTTACAGCTACGAATCGTCCACTCAAATCCTACGTCCTACGAAATCCCCACGAAGATCTGCTTTTATCCATCTGGGAGTTTGATTCTATTTTTGGAAGTAGAAGGCCGAAAACAGAAATAGCCCTAGATACATAGGGGGAAATAGTAATGATTGATGTATATAAAACACTTGACGATAGTAGTTGTATTCATCATGTCACTATTTTATTTTTTAATAGATGTTTTTTATATGGAACTTAACACATTAGTAGAGGTTTTCCAACAGCTATTCTTGTAGTGACGACTCTATTGTTTCGCTCAACGTAATTAGTGCTGATAACACAAGGTGTGGAGACATCGATTATTTGTCACCATAAGTGAAGATATAAATAAATATCGGTAATCTTGAGAGTTCAACGAGTTGAGATAGCGTTGAGTGTGTAAACAACAATCAATCAATCCGCTGAAATTCCTCATATGATAACTACTAGTTGAAGGACGTAAATAAAACATGTAATATTTTAGATTTTACCCACGAAAGATGATAAGCTAGATGCTGTACTGCATGCACTATTCTAAAAATTACTATATGAAGACGTGTAATATACATTCAGTTTTGACCGTTTAGCCTTGATCCAATAACAAAGCTATTCAAGGCTCATCTCCAAGTGAAGATTAATCTTCAATTTACTCGTATATCTGAGTGAAAAAATAATATTACTAGCATCCCTGTACCATAATAGTGACGATAGTGATTCAAAGTAATAGAATCGGCCGTGATTCTAAACACTAAAGAAGTGAGACGTAAGAAATCATTAATTCACCATAAACAACTCGATTTCAACAATGTTTTTTTAGAATGGTTTACAATGGTTTCCGGTACGTGCAACGATATTCAATGAAATAAAGATTAAACAATTATTTACCCTGGATAACTTTATTTACCTCACGTTCCTTGGAATATCAACATTGAATGTGATATAATAACTGAAAGTAACTCCGCGAAGTAGAGACACGGATTAAAAAAAAAAGAATTCACTGGAAATTGACTCATATTATATGAAAAGTATTTCTTTGCCTTACAATATCCTTAGATCCAAAAATCATTTTACTAGGACAACGGAATTTTCTTTACTGTTTTGGAGAATCAACATCGACTAAGATATGACTGAATTTTGCTAATCGAAGATAATTATGAATTATTTCGTGAATAACTGAAATTTCCTCGATTGTTTTGGTAAATTGACATCGACTATGATACAATGGACTGAATCTAATTCAGCAAAAAAGGGGTTTACTTTCAAAATTTCCTATGTATAACTAAATTTCCCTAACAAGTTTTTTGAGTGCTGACATCGACTGCGTACATTCAGCAAAGAGGGGTGGAAACAGAGAGATTGAAGGATTGAAAAGGGGAAGGAGAGGAGAGAATGGCAGTTAGGTGCGTGAATGCGAGCGATCCTGGACGACATTGCGTGCCGTGCCAGGAGCGACCAGCGTGCCTTCAGCCTACCTGGGGCATCGATTGGTACTCATCTGGCGAAATGAGACACTAACACAAAGTGGCGAACGTCTGCGACAAAGACATGTACGTTAGAAATGTTGAGGTGTCGTTGTGTGTGGAAGGAAAGGAGGGGGGGGGTTCACGTTAAAAAAAAATACACCTTAACGAATTTTTGATGGATATTGATACAAGTTTCATTTGGACACTAATGTTATTGATCGTTAGGTTGCTATTGAGATGGAATGAATTTTATTCAAATCGTCAAGAATAACTTATCATGGACCACTATTCAGTAGTAACTTATCATGGACCACTATTCAGTTTTTCCCAGAAGATGTCTGTTTGTAGACTATATAGAATCGCAACTGGTTAACCGTATAGTTACTTCCATTCTACCTACTTACAACACCCCATCCCTTTCTAATGTATTCGAAGATGTTTAAACTAACACCTCACACATACGTTTAATACCTTAACACTTTACTTTAATACTTAACAATGAAATGGCGACGTTACAGAGTAGGTATTTTAAGCCAAGTATGAATGGAGATGGAGATGAGTGTAGGATGAGTGGGGCGATCTTGTAGTCTTGTTGGTGACTAAGGCCGACCTATTCCTGAGACATGCATGCGTTACGGTTGTCTCAAAAAACCTGACGGAACAAATGAAGAAATTGTACAACGAACGCTCCTATACTATTATGCTCAAAATAGCCTTTTCATTCATTTTCAATACGGACTAATAAACGTTCCTCAATTAAGCACATTGTGTATAGAATTCCTCTCGTTTTGTTTTCGATGCGAGAAAATCTCAACAATCGTGGACGAAATATCGGTAACGAGTCGTGTTTTACGTGCGTTCAACTGAATCGTGATGCATCTGAAAATAATTTTAGTCGTATTATCGTATTATCATAACGTTAACTTTCCCAAAACCCACGACCTCGCACAGATCGTGTTTATTTCTGGAAGATTAACCTTCGTTCACCAGGCGGAGGTGGTTTGGATTCTTCCTTTTTTGGCTTGTAACACTTTGCCAAGGTTAAAACTGTTAAGATTCGAAACGACAAAATCGTGGCCTTCCTTATATGATTTAGTTAAAACGTATATAGGTATTTATGTTATGTGTAAAGTATATTCAATTTTATTATACGACGTAGATACAGCATGACATTTTAGTTTATAACAAACGGATGAATTCAATATACAAAATAACCAACTGGATATTTTATTCGAGATATATTCTATATATAAGATCGAAGACAACTGGCTCCAGTTTTGAAACAATAGCTTTTCACTTTTGTCAGGATTGGACCATAAACCCTCTCAATACTACTTCATTTCTTACTTTCTATAGAGGAAGATATTGTTTTCCAATCAGTCCTCGATACAAAGTGTTACCATCTGTTCAAGTCCATCCTTTTATGATGTGTTTTCCAATAGCCAAGATATTGTTGAATTTCAAAGACAACCTTTAATGCATTACAGTTAAGCTGGATTGGGTCAAAGTAAGAAGACCTGGGGATCTGGAGATGTGAACTTTACCATAGCGAGCGCGGGACAGTTCAGACACAATGGGTACTGTTACTTCTGGTGTTATGTAAGACACTTCTCACGCGGATCACGAACTGAGATAACAAACAGCTGTTGGACCAACGGAGCTCCGAGACGACCGAAATGTACAAAAAACTGTGCTAGAGAATAGGGGAAGAGGGCTAAAGTACACT